CAAGAACTGTTATTTAAACGACCATAGGCTAAGAAGAGAAGAGTTGGTCAAAATAAAAGTCCATGCCCGAGAACTCAATATAATTTAATTACCTTAAGGGTCGGTGTGGATTTTAAGTTTAAATTCCTTAGTGTAAGTTTAAAATGATTACTATTGAATATTGATATTGAGAATGTTCTATCAAATGAATTTTGATTTATCCCAAATAAACAAAATTTAATATATATATATACTATTTAACTTCTGGTGAAATAAGATGTTGAATTTTAATATTCTAGTTCTTTTAATATGGCTGGTAAAGTTCGATATCAAATTCTTGATCTTGATATTTTCTTATTTGCATTTGTAGCATCCACTTGCACCGGAAAACGTCAAGTTAAGAATTTAAAAATATAAATTGAATAAATTGGTTGATTGTATGAATAATATAAAAAAAAGAAATCCACCCGAAAAGGTGAAAAATTAAAAAAAAATATTTAGTAATAATAAGTCCATAGACGTATCCAGAATTTTCCTATGGAGAATGGAAAACACTATTACGTGAGGTCTTACACCATAACTTTTATTGGAGGTCTCAGGTCCACTTATTGTATGTTGCAGTTTTACTTTACAAAAAAATGCATTATGCAAATCGTAAACAAAAATAATGTTTTATTAAAATATCCCCGTCTATGTAAATGAGAAAAAAACGCGTGAGATTTGTAGATTTTTTCATACTTTAACAGTTTTAACAAGTGGGATGTAGAACTTTTTATTCTTCGCTAGTGAGACTATGTAAATGTTGATTAAAGAAAAAGGATATATAATGGAGAAATTATGATGCGAAAAAGGGATTATTATTTTAACTAAAATTTACTTTTAATTTTTTAATTTTATTTTATTTTATTTTTTTATGATGTTTACTATTATAATTTTGAATAAAGAATTAAAGTTGATTTTATGATTTCGTGATTCCTAATTATTATTAATTTCCTTTTATATATATATATTTGTTTTCTATTTTTATATTTAGGTTTTGATGCACAATGACAATCTTGTCGTTGTGACAGTGGTGCCGAAGAGCGGAGGAGACCGGCCCTTAATAACCTTCAGTCTGTGACCGGGACAACAAGGAGATGTGTCAAACTGTATTCTAATACAAAAAAAAAAATTCCAGAAGAACGTAAGAAAAATATGTAAATAAAGATGAAAAGGAAAAATTATGTTGTTAAGATTATGTTTATGTAGGAATATAAAATCTAAAATTAAAGACAAAGGTAACATTCATAGTAGATAGAGATAATTGTGTTTAGTTATTTAAAGGTGATAATTAGGAATTTTATATTTAGAAGTTACTGGTAAACTAAAAACCAATGGAATTTTGAAACTAATAAAGACTATGATATTTTAGATTTTAGAATTATTATCAAGTGATCACTAGAAATAACTTTGACAAAGAAATAGAAACATAAATTGCGAAAGTTAATATTTAACTAATAGGTTGCTGAGATATAATAATTAAAAAATTCGGTGAATAAGATTAGAATATAACTTTATTGTTAGGAAATAGTTGATTAAATTCTTATTGAAGATTTACGTTTAACTTTTATTTTAAGGGCTGCGAGAGATAAAACAGCCTCAAGGATTAATGTGAATTAGTATATTAGGTTGTAGATTAACCAAAAAATCTTCATAGAGAGAATCGGCTTTTCGTCATTAGAAAATTTATGCCGCAATCGAGCTCAATTTGAGATCGGATTTTTATTTTTTTGAATCATAAATAAGATTTGAGACGAATTATGCAACATTATTGTAATAATAACAGAAAGAAAAACATGCTTTAGAAATATACATATCAGTTTTCAACAACGGTTGTGCGAAAAATTATAATGATTAGATTTCATAAGTTCTTCAAAGACGTGGGGTGAAAACCATAGTGATTAGAGTTAAGAGGTTGTTCATAAACGTAAGTATGAAAACTTATATGATTAGATGTCATTGATTTCTCAACAACGTATGTATGAAAAGAGATTTATATATTTCAGCAGTTTTTTAAGACTAGTGTCAAGAGTACATGAGAAATAAATACACAATGATGAGTTTAAAAGAAAAGAAGGTTTTGATATATAGTTTAGAATAGTATTTTTAGATATAAATTTAGACATGGCTGAAAAGAAGATGAGATCAATAGCTAAATACAAGTAAATTTTTCAATGAAAATATGGGTCTAGGCTTCATTAAGGGGAGAGGGGTGATAGAATGTGATATATTTATATAATTTATTATATTTTGCTACGTATTATAAAATTTAAGATTTAGTATAATTTACGCCATTTATTAAAAGCAGAATTAGTTTAGAAGAGATAAATGTAGATATGTAAATAGATTATTTTAGGTAGAAGTAGATTAGATGTGAAAACCCGATATCTCAGCAAGGACAAACTGTCGTAGAAGACCCGAAAGTCTGAAAGATAGATACGATTACAAGAATTAGAGGCAACAACCAATCAATTACAAGAGAAAGGGGGAAAACAAGCAAATTGATAGAAAAGAGGGTCAAGACGTTATGCTGCAATCGTTAATCGCTGACCAATAATAGCCAATTATTCCGAGACTTTAGTCTTGATAAGAAAGCTACGATAAATTGTAAAAAAGATTAAGACAGACTAGCAAAAAACAAGAGAGGAAAGGAAACTGGATGTCATCGATAATCGTTATCAATCGTGGATAGTGAAAACAGGCGTGTATCAAGTTCGTCAGTGGCTTACAGCGATAAAAAGCTGATCGTTTCACAGGGTGACAAGCGACAGATAGAATTCAAAAATTTCAAGCGACAAAGCCTTCGTTAGAACTTAGAAGACAGCAAAAATTAAGAAGAATAAGTCGAGATCGAAAGAAGATTGATTATTCGCAGATTGGTGGGTCTAACTTAAGTGGAAGGGTGTTGCAGTTTTACTTTACAAAAAAATGCATTATGCAAATCGTAAACAAAAATAATGTTTTATTAAAATATCCCCGTCTATGTAAATGAGAAAAAAACGCGTGAGATTTGTAGATTTTTTCATACTTTAACAGTTTTAACAAGTGGGATGTAGAACTTTTTATTCTTCGCTAGTGAGACTATGTAAATGTTGATTAAAGAAAAAGGATATATAATGGAGAAATTATGATGCGAAAAAGGGATTATTATTTTAACTAAAATTTACTTTTAATTTTTTAATTTTATTTTATTTTATTTTTTATGATGTTTACTATTATAATTTTGAATAAAGAATTAAAGTTGATTTTATGATTTCGTGATTCCTAATTATTATTAATTTCCTTTTATATATATATATTTGTTTTCTATTTTTATATTTAGGTTTTGATGCACAATGACAATCTTGTCGTTGTGACATTGTAGACCTTGGACTATGTTATATTTTTATATAATAATTTTAGGTTTTCAATTTTTAAAAAAATATTAACTTTTACTTATTTTTCTTTTAAATTATTGTTTATAGTGATATATTGTATACACGAGTGTTAGGGGAGAAGCTTTTATTTATTAAAATTATATTTACCGAGACACACAAATTTCTGATGGGATAGGAAGTTTTCCACCCTTTGGTTACGCTTATGAGTGCTGGATGCATAAAGAAAATAATATACATCTCATATAAAGGATCCCTTAAATATTGTAAAATTTCCAGTTCTATCTGATTTCTTCTTTGATTAGCATTTGATTTCGGTAAAGTAACTGATCTCTTTAAATAATAGTCATCATCTTTCTGCCGATCATGATTGAGTTTTAGATTTAGGGGTGGAATTCGCGTTTTAACTTTGAGCACTACATGAACAAATATTGATTTTGTAAATTTTTCTCTCTCATTATTAGCCATTTATTTTTTTCTCAAGGATTATAACTATACATTTTTGATGACTCCTTAACTTCTAATCATTATATCTATGTTTGATTGGTTTAATTTTTTTTATACATAATTTACTGTATTTTATTTTTTATGCGCGGTTTTTTTGACCTATTTTATTTTAATATGGGGGCAATATTGAGGTTGAAAAGACTGAATCAAATTCAGAATTCGAATTTCTTTTGTAAGCCATTCAAAGACGCGTTTATCGTAAATAAAATAAGAGGCAAGTCCACAACACCTCATTTTGTCTTTGCAGTTTGCCAAGGAAATAGAAATTAGAACTAGAATTTTAAGATGTTCTTCTAGAAATTTATAATCCTTTGTTTCAAATTTTTGAAAATTAAGTTTTTCAAAGAAAAATTTCCAATTTTGATCGATGCATCATTAACATAAAGAAGAGTCATATATTCTAGTTTGAATTTGCAAGCTATTACCTTATAACTCGTTTATTATATCGGTTAATTTAGATCTGCCCGAGCTATTCAGCATGTGGGAAATTTACCTCCTGTATAAAGTAGTCATGACAAGGGACGGTGACTCTGTTAGAAAGTTTTTGACATTAATTGCTGCAATACAATAGCAAAATTTTGAAAAAACAATTATTAATTTTTTAAAAAAATGATGATAAATATTATATTAATACATTTTATTGATAGATTTCCAATCTTAATTTTGTTTTTTATAGCATTTTATACCTATTATCTGGGGAATAGTAAAATCGGTGGTAGTATTTTATAACTACTTTCTTTCTTCGTACAATAATATAAAACTACCACTTACAGCACTCTAATAAGTAACTTGAAAGGTATAGTTTCTTATCCCAAAAAACTTTTTTATTAAAATAAGTAAAAATAAAATTTATCTTCGTCAGCAGATTTCTCCCAAAATCAGCCGTCCAATCTCCTAAGCACCCACTCCTCTCTAGGGTGATATCGTTTATGTTTTATTTTATTTCTAAATTGAAACCGTTCATTTTAAATAAAATTATTCACCATTATAATTTTAAATAATGTTTTAAATAATATGATAGAAATTTTTAATAAATAATTATTATAAGAAGAAAAAAATAATATTTATAAAACATAATAAAAATTGTAAAAGTTTGTAAACATAATCATTTTTATTTTTGATTTTACAAATAATTTTTTTTATTCGAATAAACTTTGATATCCATAAAAAAAAAATCAACCCAAATATGTTTATGGACTCTTATCATTCTTCAAATATAGAACCAACCTTCAATGGTAATTCTCACATGAGTGATGGAGCGGGAATCCATGAAGACAGGAAAAATGGATATCATGATACAACAGATGACATAAAGGTAATTAAAACCATTTTTTTTTAACTTTAAGCTTTAAAAATCACAGGCACAGGTATAGCCAGGATTCTGCTAAGAGGGGGGGGGGAGGTGATATTGGATCTGTTTTCCCTCATAAATTTTATTTAGTAAAAAAAGATATTCACGAAAACTTCTGTATTTGATAGTGAGAAGAAACGTGTCAAAGCCCTCTCCCCACTCTTATAATTAAAATAGTAAATTGGGTTTTATCACATGATACATTTTGGTAGCTTTTTTTATTTTAATTAAGTTTGAAAACTTTTTTTTCTGTGTAATGTGATTCTTTTATATATATATAAAATAACTAATTAATTTTTTTTAAAAAATTATTTCATTTATGAAAGCATAAAAATTTTCACTCAAATCATTAAATTAGATCAGTTTTAAAAATCGATAATGTCAAATATATAATTCCATGTTACGTGCGATGACATCGCTATAGATTATAAATTACCTATTATTTCCTTGCTTTAGAATACCCAGCTATACACTAATACTGTAAATGAAGCCTAACTTAAATTCATATAAATTAAGATAATTCTTGGCTACAATAATATATAATAAGTAGTTTATCCGGAAGTAATTGTTAATTTTATAATAAAAATTTAAAAAAAAAATTTAGTACAAGTAAAATTCATGCTGTTGGTATTTTTTTCATTTATATTTTTTTTTAAACCCAAAATTGATGCTGATGCTCTGTTTATAAAAGGGTAAACAATTTATATATATTTAAATAATAAGAATCAGGTGTTATCAGCTGTTTTACAAATATGACATACTTATTCACAACATTGCATCGTTCCTCCCCTCCCAATTAGATTATTTACTTAACTATATTTGTCTTAATCACACGATCAAGAAAGGTGCTAATAATTTCATGACATCGAAAATTTCTTTTTATTTCTTTAATAGTATTTTAATAAAAAATGCCAACCGGCCATTTATCGACAATTTTTGAACGAACAGCAAATGGCTATCGACTGTTTTATATAATATTTTGTCATTGTCAAACATCTATTTCAAATAATATGGTAAATAAATTTTTTTTAAAAAATCAATGTATCCAAGTAAAAATATTATCTTCAATTCACCATACTTTTAAGTGTCGATCTCGATACTCTAAATGACATCAAAACAGGCTCATCTAAATGCAACCCGTTTAAATCTCGCTAAAGAAAACTGTTTGTTTAGTTAGAAAAAAGTAACTAATAAATAAACCTGGCCACCCATTTTAACCATCTCACATTTATCACCTGATACTCAAAATATTAATAATAAATGACGTAATTTATTGAAAATAATAGTTTTTGTATGTCCACGTATATAAAAATTTCCCAATATTTCGAATCTTTACGCAAATAATTTAATTCATAAAAATACTATAAAAATTAATCTCCTGATTTTTTTTACTATGTACTCTCAACAACATGCCATTATTTATGTTTTTAACCATCTCGATTCAAATAATTTGCAATACGAATTTTATATTATTCATTTACTTCATGGATCATTAGTATCTTATATTTTATCTCGGAAGAGGGATCACGGACAGAAATGTCTCCCGAACAAGAAAACCTGAACAAAAGTACCCCGGGCAAAAATATCCAGGACAAAAATTTCCCAATTTTAGAAATTTTATGTTTCCCCTTTTTATTATTAATCGTATAAAAATTTTTTTTGAAATTGTATACTTTTGTTTAAATCTTTGCGTTAGAGATTTCTGTCCGTGACAGAGGAGAACCCCTCAAGTCGGCCCGAATCCCGGTCTCTCTAAAAATTATAGAATATTTCTGGCCGCGCTGGGACCTGTAGTAAAAAGACAGGTGATATTTTTTTTTGTTTATCTGTGATTAAGCACAGAGAAATTAGATATTTTTACTTATGCCTTTAAACTTATGCCTTTAATTTATATATTTTATTCATTAATTTCTGGCCAATAAAATAATAAATTTTCAGGGGTTCTATCTATCTCAAAGCTTAAACTTTTTATCTATTAAATTAAATGTTTATAAATATTATAAGCTTAGCCGAGTTGCTTTACTACTCATTGAAAATATTAAATATCTTAGGGTTTGCTCTTAGCGACACAAATTGTGATGGCTTAACTGGAATTTTATGATTAAATTTTATTTTCTTTTTCTTATATTTTATGGAGATCCACAATTGGCCAGGGTAGGCTTTCTTTTAAAAAAAGTAAATAATAGGCTTACATCGGAAAACAGGATTACTTTTTTAAGGGTGGTATGGGTTAGAATTAAAATTTACCAGAGTTGTTAAAATATACTTTTTAAATGGATCTAGATACAGATACAATTTTGATAATACTTATATATAGGGCTCGCCGTTGTTCCCGAACAGCTCTTATTATGAGAGCACAAAATATGTAAAAAGTATTTTTATATTTTGTTCTCATTCAATTCGAACACCATATAAAAAAACAATGTCAATACCCCTATTTTATCGTTTTTTCAAGCAAATTCTCATTTAAACGAGCATATATTTTTTTTAAAAAAGATTTTTTGCATTAAACTTAGGATTAATTTATTAAATCATGCGGAATATCTATAATTATGTTAAAAAATTCTGAATAAATTTATTTGCTTTTTTTTGCTTAAAATAAATTTGTGCATCAATAATATTGTTTTTAATAATTAATGGGCGTCATAACTAAGCAAGGATTTATATATTTCTTAAAAATATCCTTCACAATCTTGAACTGATATCTATAGATTTAAATAGGGAAAAAATAATATTTAATGAATATTTATATATTTTTTATGTGAAGTTTTAATATTTTATATATATATTTATTAAATTAGTCTAATATTTCTAGATATACTTATTTAAATTATATTCTCATATGAGATAAGATAAATTTTGCATTCAAATATCTTTATTTTTTAGATGACAAAGCGTTAAATAAAAGTATATCAAAATATATCTGAAAAAGTATCTAAAAACAGATACAAATACCTCTAAATAGTATCTAGATACAGATATCTTCTATTAAAGTATACACTAATACTTTTTAAAATTTTCTAAGATACATGATAATGCTTGCCAAAAATTTCAAAAAGATCCAAGATACCTTTAAAATAACTTAAATAGATATAATTATTTTTTTTATTAAGTTCGATATACTTATACCCAAATATCAGAGTTGTTAAAGATACCTTTCTAATATATCTATAAGTATAATATCAACTCTTTTTGTATTCAACGACGCTTCAATTGCATTTTAATGAATGCATCTTGATAATTAATAAGTATTAAAATATCATTGGATATGCTAAACTCCTACCACAATTACATATTAATTATATTCATAAGATATACAAAAAAAATAATTAATCAAGTACGAGAGGTATATAAGACCATTCGATTTAAATGAAGCCCAGTTGCTTGAAATTATGAAAATCTTCGAGAATGAGATGATGCAAGGCCTTTCAAAAGATGGACACCTGCGAAAAACGCCTCTACAAATGGAGAACACTTATGTCTCTGACTTATTGAATGGTTCAGGTTTATTACATTTAATATAATCTTAATTTCAAGAGCTAGCGAACCATTGATCTTATTATTCTACAATATTCGGTTTTAAGATTTTTTGTTTTTTTTATAATATTTTTAATTGTTCTAATGATCCCCAAGAAATGTACCTTTTCCTTTCTTTCCACTATTACCACGGAATTATTTGAATTTAATAGTAAAATGCTATAAAATGAACAAATTAAGGGTTTTGGGGGAATTTGCAACATTACTCTGCATTCCCAGTTAACGCGAATCGCGGCGAGGTATACAAAAATACACCATATTTTATATACTTGCCGTGAATTCGTGCTAATCATGAAATCAAGGTTATAGAGGTAAACTTTTTTCTGTTAATTACATTTTTTTTCGATATATTTTTTTTAAGGCATGCAAATTTTACAAATATTTTAAGAATTTTGAATTATTATGCAAAAATTTGTAGGTATATAAGATAATAATTTTGATATCTTTTTTAAACTTCCATTTATTATGAATAATATAATTTAACATTTGAAGATAAAAAAATCTTTGTTTTTTTAGTTTTTTTTACGCCTATTTTAGACGCTAGATTAAGCCGAGCCGAAAGATCAAAATCAGAATATTGCAGGAGAAATAAAGAGTTTAATAGGAGAGGTTTGTTAAAATTGAGAGAGACTAGGCAACTCTCATTCTAAGTCCCTTTTCCATTTCCTGTTAATTATTTTTTTCATAAGAATGTTTAAGAAACAAATGAGAGGGTTAAAAGAGGTCCATAGAAATTAAGAGTTTAATTTCATTCAATTTTGATACATAGTGGAATTCGAATTCTATAATATTTAAGCCACGAAATTTCCGATTTCTCTAAATAATTATATCTTTGAATTATTCATTGTTATCAGTGCCCTCCTTAAAATAGTTGCCTCCAAATTCACATTTCTTGATAAACACAATAAAAGATGCGCCTTTTGACTTAAGGCATGTTTCATGTTATGCCATTCTACTTCGATTTGATATACTGATTTAAATTTTTTTTTAAAAATTCTAATTATCCAATTTTTGCCCCTTTTTGTGCCATGACCCTTATCGTAAGCTATCACCTTGTGTCAATCCTGCTTACTGTTAAGAATATAATTATGATTAGATCAGCATGTTCGATAGCTAGATAACTTACAGTTGAACTAGTCTAATTTTGAGATCTTAGGGATCACTGGGTTTGGAAGTTTCAAAGAAATAATTTTCACCTACCCAATCATCCTCAAATTAAATCAAGTGTGTAAAATTATATTTAAAAAAAAATTCACAGAAAGTGGTTCTTACCTGGCCTTAGATTTGGGTGGCACGCGTTTCAGAGTGCATTACGTGCAGATCAAGGACAATAAAATAACGGCGGATACGGTTCCTTACCCTCTGGAACAAGAAATTATTCAAGGTCCGGGCGAAGAGGTTTATACACTTTAAAACTTTATGTTTTAATCGAATCCATTGAAACTGAGCAGAAACTAAACAATATAAAAAGTATAATACATAACACAGTATATATATATATAGTCGTAGCGGGATATGGAGATTCAGAATCCCTGTCTCCTTAAATTACTTACCGAAAGGAATATTTAAATTCAAAAAAAGCGTAATTGATCGGAAATGTATTCCACAGACACACAGGGTAAATTTTAAACCTATGTTAACAGTGAAATTATAAATTACTCTTATTTTATATGCATTATTACAGAAAGAAAATAAAAAAAATGCATTTACGGTCAATTCAGATTTTTTATTCAAATTTAAAAATGGCCCCCACTTTCAATAAATAATTTAAAATTGAGATATTTGAATCGTAATGATACTTTTTTTTCAAAAAAAATCGAAATTGAATATTTTATTCCAGCTAAATAATATTATTTACTAATAGAACCTCTTTAACAACATTTTGGCTATTTTAACATTTCGTCCTTTTTGACTCAATATATATATCAGCATCTGGTTTTTTTAAATTATTAATTAAAAATTTTCATCTTTTTATTTTGACTTATTTCACTCATTTTTCTAAAAATTTTTTTATTTTACCATGAATATCGCGGTTGGCACATTATCGTGTTAACATTTTTATTGATTTATTCATTTTATGTTTATCATTCTATTAGAAACATCTTCAAATATGTGTATAATGTAACGGTTTAGCTATTTCATATTAACTGGGGTTTTTTTTGATACATTTTAAAAACTTCATCTAAAGCATGTTTTTTTTTAAAATTTTTAAACGCGTTACATTTTCCCGCATCATATTCCATTTTTTAGACAATTTTGGCGTTGTAATGTTATGTATATATTTTTTTTAATTTATAAGAAAGATTCGGAGGAGTAGTTTAAAGATTTATTCAAGATTTTCTGAAATTCACACACAGGAAATTCGACTATTCCGGCAAAATCAGATATTTAAAAATCTTTGTAAATAATTTAAGTATTATTTGTTAAAAAAACCTCAGATTTTCTCAACTCATTTATGATTTTTAGAGTCGAAATTATAAAAAGAAAACGGATATAATTTTTTTTATACATATACTCTTTCAAGTTTTTATAAATATAGCAGTCGCATTGCCTATGGACACGTTTTGACCACATTTGAAATGTACGCTGTATTTCTATCTATATTTTCAGCTTATTCTTAATTTGAAAATAAATTATTAGAGTATAAATAAGCTTTCCTTATGATGAACAAGAAAATCATACGATAATGAATTTGAGATTTTTTAAAAAAATACTTGATTTCACATTCCTTTTTTTAAAGTACCTATAAGTTCTTTGGAGATAAAATCTTATTCTGATATCTGCCACGTTGTACATCAAATAATAAATCTTTAACGAATTCATCCATATTCATAAATGTTATTTTCTTTTATATTGCATCATCTTGATCTTACCATATGCTTCCATTGAATATTTTGTGTTTTATGGTTAATCGTATGTTTTTTATTTATTAACTTTGACTCATTTATAATCATTCTCGTTGAACTATAGTGAAGCTAAAAAATAATAATTTTGTTAACGTATGTGGCTGTAATTTTATAAATAACATAAATCGTTTAACATAGCTCCAAAGGTCGATAAAGATGACTTTGAAAGAAAAACATGTTTCACTTCATCATTATAATTTCACAATATTTAATTATTATAACAAACTATTAATATATAAATCTTGTTCCAGGGTCATTCTAATTTCTACCCTTTGGCACAAATTCGTGACATTAAACTATTATATAATTTATATCATAGCTCTGCAAATGAGCTATTTTTTTAAATCTGAAAGCCCCCCTCCCCCTCCCACATTTATTTTAAAATTTTTTTAGCTCGTTCGCTCAATATTTTCTAATTACTTGATTGATTGCTTTGATGCTTTATTTATTTTACCAACCATGTCTCATATTATTTTATTTTTACACGCCCGTTGCAGCTCTAACTTATATGTCTATGCACGAGAGGTATCTAATTGAATTTTAAAGATCAGTGGCATTATTATTTCTTATTATTTGGGCTTAAAGAGTGAGTTTATTTTGGCTAATGATTTCCAATGGGTGGTTTTGGATTACAAACCATGCCATCCCTTATTTTAACAAGTTTCAATCCATCAACTTTACTTTTGGAGAGGGAGGGGGGGGGGGTCTCATACTTGACAATTTGTTTTAAATAATGTTGTGCTGGTCCTTTGATTGGTTAAACTTTTTTATAGCTAATTGAAACTTAATTAAAGTATCAAAATGGATGCGTTGAATATGAAATAACAAATATATAAAATATGTCTTAACAAATTTATAAAATATGTCTACCTATCCCTCTCTTAAAATGTTTTAAGTTCCCCCCCCCCCCATTAAATAATCTTAAACCCACCCGTTCGTTTAAGTTTTTAATGCATGGATAGGCTTCAAACATATCCGTTGTAGATAACTGAGCACATTTTTCCCGTCCTCATTAAGGCCAGTGCTCAAAGATTTGGTTTGAATCTAGACTTGTCCAGCTGTTTTCATCTTTATATTTGGAAAGGCCTAATGCTAAAAAATTGAAAATAACTATACGGACATAAATAAAAAAATCATAAAATTTTGAAAATCTCTTTATAATATATACATATATATTCTAGGAAGTTATATTTGATTCTCAATTATTTAAAAACAGCTTTTCCGTTACATCGCTAAATGTTTAGTATCGTTTTTGGAGGACAAAAAGTTGAAGGGCATCTGTCATACATTATCTCTAGGTAACATATTTATTAGTTTTAATCAGAGATGCACCAATAGTACTAAGCTCGGGTTACATTTTAACAATCCTCCATAGTTTCCTTTATATATTCATACATTTAAAATATTATTTGGTTAATGCTAAACAGTATCAAGTTAACATATGGAATATTGCTAAACAATGACCTATGTTTTAAAAAATATACAATAAGACCTATTTTAAATATTATATTAATAGATCTATGCAGGCATCAGGATTAACTTTTCCTTGCTGGATCGAAACCAGATATACACGGTAAGTAATACGCGCATTCAACTACAAGGCTATACATAAAAACTTCCCGAAACTTGCAATTTTTATATAAATTTATAACTATATAAAAGAAAAACACAAAATGATTAATATTTCAAGCAGGGTTGGAAGTCGGTCAATTGACCAGTCAGATTCAGTCAATTGACCGGGTCAAATACGGTCAATACTATAAAAATTTTAAAGGAAAAATAATTGAGAATATGTTTAAAAAAGGGAAAAACGATATAAATAGATGTGATCACAATGTTTGCTTATTTTTTGGGTCCACAATATCAAGAGGAGAATCTCACTAGTAGTGAATTTAATAAAGTATGTGATATAATTCAAGAATTAGCTATTATACAAGATAGTGATGACCAAAATATTTTAAGTGATATAATTAATTTCAGAAGCAAAAACAGCATGTTTAATATAGCAAATTATGTGGAAAGTAGTAATTTCCAGAAACAATCAATTCCGACCTCAAGTTAATAGATTAAACTTTGCCCACCATGCTTATTAAGAGATTAATAATTCCTATTCTACTTCTTCTTTAGAAAAAAATAGGTCGATTTGGCTTAATATTTTTATGAAAATAGAAATCGATTGAAGATCTAAGACATCAGGAAAAATGATAAAAAAAATATTAAAGAAAATAATAATATTGAATATGAATCAGAACAAGAATCTGCTACGGATAGCTAAACGTTAGTTATTTAATGACAATGAATTTAAAAAATTAATATCATAGATATATTTTACTATTATTTTCAAATAAAGTTAATATTAACTTAAAAAAACATATATTTGAATTTGACAATATTTGACCGTTTGACCATATTTGACCGTGTCATAATTGGGAGACTTTGATTTGTAAAATTTGATTTTTGGTAAAGTCAGTATGTATTGCGTTTGATGAGTCATTTTTATTTTTATAATTTTATGTTTTAGTTAAATTGGTGATTCATTGTTATTTTTATAATTTTATGTTTTAGTTTAATCGCGTTAACATTTTATTTTTAGATTTATAAAAGTTAATTATTAAGTCATTATGATGATGGGATTTAATTATTTATTTGTGATGATTATCGCTTCCCTATAAAAGGGAAGCGAAAATTGTAAATAATCAATTCATTTTTTTTTTGCATTCATTTTTTTTTAAATTAATTTTTTTTTAACAATTAATTTTTTTCGATTATTATTATTATGATGTTATGTTTTTTTTGGTTGTAATAATATATATATTTTGAATTGAAATAAAAATTATTCGGAGTTTTGCTGGGATTGAAATAAAATTATCATATTCTTTTACTCGGACTTATAGCACAACGTAATAGACCGGTCAAATACGTTTCGGTCAATTGACCGATATTTGACCGGTCAAATGCACAACCCTGATTTCAAGTGCGTGAATGTCTACAAAAGAAAATTACGGGGATTGTTATAATTAGTCTGGGTTCAAATTCATAATAATTAATTATTATATATATAATTTAAAGTGGGTTTCCTTTTGATAAAAAAAATTAATCTTTCAATAATATCAGCAAGGAGATTTTTTTCTACGCTGAATTGTCAAATTGTAAATTGTCGTGGTATAAGCCAGTTGTATCGGTAAAATTAAAAGTATCTGCTGATATTAAGCACATCAGTGAATCTCTGGTATAATGAATAAGGATTAATAAATTTTAAAATATATGTATGTATATGTAAGATAGAGGCCTGCAGAAATAACATTTGCACGGCCCGGGTCGGATTTTTAAAAAATATATTATTTTAATTTTTATAGATAATAATGATTTAAAATATTTTTTAAAATATAAGGCCCGGCCAGGGTATTTTTTTAAAAAAAAATTTAGCAGCCGGGGTATATTTAAAAAATTAAAATACGGCTTGGCCCGTGTACCTGAGTCGAGCTTAGGGCCGGACCTGCAGGTCTCTGATGTAATACAATAGCGTAACGAACGGCGTGATACAGAGGAGCTCACGTCTTTTAGTGGGCTTGGAGTTGAAAATTTCTAATTGCTATTGGAGTAGCGTAGTTATTATGCTATTGGTGCAATAAGCGCATCATATTAAACACAAAATGATCCAGATAATAAATAATGACCTTAAAATAGTTTTCCCATTTTTAAATGAGATTTAATATATAAAAAATAATCACATCAAATGTTTTTTCTATGGTTGATTCAGGCTTTTGTTTTTCCTTTCCCATAATCCAAAAGAAGCTCAACTCCGGACTCTTGCTGACTTGGACTAAAGATTTTCGGTGTTCAGGCGTCGAAGGGAACGACGTTGTTGCTATGCTAGATAAGGCTCTAAAAGAACAAGTTAAATATTTGTTGTGTGTATTTTTTTTTGAATGGGTATATATATATTTTTTGGTTTTGCTAAAATCTGATTGGTGATTTATTTTTAAAAGGTGATAATAACATATATATTTTTTACCACTTTGGCTTGATTGGTTTATAGAGTCTATTTAAATATAATATTTTATCACCAAAGTCGGGGACGGGAAATAAAGGTCAAGAGTAGTGTCAATGTATATCATTTAATCATTTTGTTCACAAGCCATTTAGTGCTTCATCTAAGAGTTACTATGCTGTTAGGCCGCGTTGCAATTATTTAAATAGTTTTCACCATATCCGTAGACAAAAGTTTAGTTCTTCGAAGCCCCTTGTCGCCTTTTGAGATAACCATATCTTTCTCTTTTAGCTGAGTCGCGTTTAGGTCCAAGATACGAAAGAAACAGTCGTTTTTGTATACAATTATAGAAGAGTGGTAAAAAAATTTGAAGATTAAATTTGCACCATTCTATTTGTAATGTTAGTTATATAATATATGATTTAAGCTAAAAAATGTTATGCCCATAACTATCAAATTTAATTTTAAACTTTGTAATATAGGTAATGAATATAATAACCCTAAACCCCCATCATTGTAACATTCAAACTTAACCCTAATCTTTTCCAGTGGAATAATGAATAAAATTTTTTTACGCATAGTATTTTGTTCAACCAATATAAAAATTCTTTTATCATCAATTCTGGTTTTGGTTGTATGCCATAATATAACTACTTTTAATAATAAATACTTTTTCTACCGAAAAATTTCTTAGATATAAATATGAAAGAACCAAAGGAAGATACTACGATCCCGTTTCATGTGAAGTAGTTAGAGGCGGCTGATTTGCTTCTAACCCCCCCCCCCCTCTTTCCCCATTTATGGTTTCTCGTAAATCAATATTTTTAAACCTACGTATGCTGCCTTCAACAAATAAGCATCGTTTTATAAGAGGGGAAAAATGGAATTTTTAGCCCCTTCCCTAGGAGTCTAGCCTCTGCTCCCTTACTTCTGATCAGGTGGACACTAAAATATTACCGTTTTAAAAAGTTTATCAGAGCTAATATTGTCGAAAGCCTTAATTTTGCCAATTTTTAAAAAACGGCGGGATCAAGATTTTAGCCATAATATATTACACAGGTTACAAGATCCAGCCAAAAGAGAGCCAAACCTTGTCGCCATTTATATGGTAACTCTCGTGGCTTGGGTAAGTTTTTTAGCTAAAATTTTAATCATAGCCTATCAATAATTGATATAACACTTTTTCGCATTTATGTGTAATTCTTAGAATCTTGACATCAAAATTTCGGCTATCCTAAACGACTCGACTGGTACCTTAATTGCTGGATTATTGATAGATCCTGATTGCTGCATGTCCGTTATTATAGGTCAAATATTTAGAACTTAAATGAATTATTATTATTTCAATTTTCCAAAATAAGCTTTATCTTAAAAATTATCAAATGTGAATTGGCGTCATTTTTGAGTTCCGATTCAGGAACGAAAAAGTAATTCCTTTGCTGGTTTTTTAAATATTTTAGAACATTCTCGGAAAAAGATATCCTAATTTATTCTACAACATATTTTTATTTAATTTTTGCTTTAAAGATTATCAATTTAAAATTGGTGCGTTGAGATGAAAATTCTAGTGAGATATACATAACAGTGGTGTTTTAAAAATAACTATCTAGAGTTACTTTCTTATAAAAGTAATTAGTTAGAATAAATTTAAATTTAAAAAACATCGGTAAATTGTACAGGTAACTTTGGTAATTTCCCATTTTTTCTCTTATAAAATATGTATTTTCTCAATTCCAAACTGGTCCACTTTATTATATCACAAGATTAATTAAAAATATAATTAATGATCATCTCTCTTTTAAAATCAATGAAATCATTGCGAAATAAACAACAGATTCATTTCTCTACATAATATAATATCCTTTAAAATTCTAGTAAAATATTATAAATCCACGGCACCCATAAATTCTTTGATTGACAAATGATCTTAAATATAATGTAAATCTACGACAATAACTAGTTAAGTGTAAGTTATTCTACCGGTAACAACACTAGAAAATACCTTTTAACATTTGACTTAGAGGAATAACTAATGAAATGTGAGCTCGATCGGATCAAATTCTATTCTTTTCAGCTAAGTGAGCGAGAAAAGGCGTCCGCATCCGGTCATTCTGGTTTCATTCTCTATAATCCCTTCTATAAAGTAATAATGGCCACCTTAATATGGTCAAAAAAGAAAATTTGCTTACATAACATGATATGTGATATATTTGTATTTATAACATATTAAGGCACTGGATGTAATGTTGCCTACTTGGAAAAAATTGAAAACATTGGAACTTGGGAAGGGCCAGTGAGTACCAAGCGAAAATACGTAAAAATAATACGATATTGAAAATATGTTTGAACTCTTTATATAAATATATTATATATATTAGAGGTCGGCCCAGCCCGAAATGGCCCGTGAAAATTTTATATCGGGGTTTTCGGTCCGGCTGGATATATATTTTGTACAAGTTGTCCTGCCCAGCCCTTATAATAAATTTTACGAATGAAAACTACATAAATTTGATTAATTATCAGCTTTAAAAACATTCTTAAAACCTCGATCCCAACATTTTTAAAAGTTTATTTTGAAATTATAGAACCTTTTCCATGGGAAATCAAATATTTAAGATGTAATAAATTGTTAATATTTAATGATTTAGCAAACAATCCTAACCCTTAAAATTAAAAAAAATGGTGGCCATATCAAAAATCTCTGTGTTTTCACTTAATCTAGAAGAAAATTATGATTCGGAAATACCATCAAAAATTTGTTGGAGGGTATAAAATTTTTAAAATCAGTTATACAAATAGTATTTTTTTTAAATTTCGTAGTCGATAATTGACACAGAATGCGGAGCTTTTGGGGACAATGGTGTCATTGACTTTCTCAAGACAGTATTTGACAAGGAAGTAGATCAATATTCCAAACATCCTGGATCTTTTTCGTATAATTTTTGTTTATTTTATTATTATTTATTCTAGTAGTAAGTGGGTAGCTATTGTCGCATTATAATCGGGGCTTAAAACCGAACCGTGAAGCCGGAACAAACAGTTATAATTTTCTGAACCATAACCGAACCATTATAAAAAAATTAAAAAGAGCGAACCGAACTGTTATAAATATTTTAAATCGGTTCATAATAGTTTTTTTTTATAATGAATTTTAAACTACTGATCAAAATTTTAATTTTCCTTAGGGCAATTTAAATTGAGATTTCTTTTCAAATCAAAATTTTTTACAATTAAATCACCATTATCTTCATATCAATCAATTCCAAGTATATTATTTTAGCTTTATGAACTCAATTTAGTAGGGATTAGGCAAATTACTAGTTAATTCTATAAGAAACAATCTTCATGGTTAAATCAAATAAGGGATTATAAAAATATAAATTAAAAGGATTTTTCTCTATAAGGTTTATAATTAACTTTTTTAAAACAAATTTATAAAAACCTGAAACCGTTATAAATTCTAAAACCGAAAAATCTCTTCAAAAAAACCCGAATTGAAAAAAAGCCTTTATAAAATTTTAAACTAAAAACCGAACCGCTATACTTAACGGATCGAAGCCCTGATTATAATTGTAATTTTTTTCCTCTTTTGTTCTATCGCCGTCACGACCAATATTTTTTTCTAAAACTAATACCATGAACGAAGTTAGGGTATGGTTAGGGTCTTCTGATATGGGGTAGGAATAAGAGATCGAAATTCCTCAGGAAAACTGGAAAAATAACCGAGGAATAGGGGGGAATGTTAAAATTGAAAGAATATAAGAGAATTTATGATAAATTCTGTAAAAAAAGTAATACTTATTTATGTTTTCAAATAAGAAGACAATAATAACATCACGATTTTATAAAAATATCATTTATTTACATTGAAAATTGATAAAATAATATAATATAGATTCATTCGATTTATTATTATCAATGGTTCAATTGAAGTAGTATCCCTTTAATTAGTATAGTAGAACTTATATCTGCCATTAAATTAATTTATCTAACCTATATATAAGCTAAAGCCTTACCATAGGGCTTACTAGGAGAAACTTAGCTCGCCAACCTTGTTCCTCAGAAGTTAATATTTCTACTTCTAATAGGAAATTATAACACATTTTGACTGTGATCTCATTTTAATAGGAAAATTTCAATATTTTTATATTGATATTACTTTTATTGGCACTTTCCTTTAAGAAATGAACTAACAGTTTATTCTAGGCATCTATTACAACTAAAACATAAGTGGAATCTAACTAAACTTCAAATCATAAAGTATCTCTTCAGAATAGTTTAATATAGACTGTTTTATGAATGGAAATGGCTCGCTATATTAAAATTTTCCACATTTTAAAAATATAAACCGCATGATGATTTGATTTAATAAAATACACCACTGGGTATGCAGAATTTGCCAGATTCTATCATTGTTATTATATTATGCTATATAAAATATTGGGAATTTTCTCGCTATGCAATTAAATGTCAAAAGTTTTAATTTAATAATCTGATATCATTTTACCTCATTTCCCCATTATCCTTCCTATCAAGGTTCGAAAAACTCTTAAGCGGTCTTTACCTAGGCGAACTATTTCGAGTTATATTACATCACGCTCGAGCTAATAATCTTATATTTACGGGTCAAAATATACCTCATGTGTACTCCAATTTCTCCTCAAAGAAGCAAGAAATTACGTTCAAGAAGGCTCTCGGTGAACAACGATGTAGTATAGATAATCGGTGGTCCCTACCAACCAAATACATTTCCGCCATTGAAGACGAGTAAAATCTAAAGAGACTTGCCAATTTTTATCATTCATAATGAAAGTAGGATTAAAAATGATAGTATTAATTTTAAAGCAATATAAATAAATAAAGTGGGGTATCTCTTGCTTAAATTTATCATTGTCTTGTTTTTAAGGTCTTTCTATAACTCAAACTTGGAATCTAATATACCTAAACCAGGAAGTTTGTTAATTAATATAAAAATTTATTTTTACTGATCAAATAATTATAATGATTCAATTTTTTGGGCAAAATATATCATAGTGTAAACGCGCTTATATTTTTAGGGGTAATAATTCCAACGATAAAATAATTGAATTACTGCGAGAGATCAATTTATTAAGTTGCGCTAGTGAAGAGGATATGCGATTTATCAAGGAGTTATGCACAGTTCTAATATCCAGAGCCTCAAAATTGGTGGCATCAGGTAAATTGCTTTATAAACTAAATCAATTTATATATTTTATCAAGGGTTCTGAACCCTATTTGGGTTCACGAATCTTTTACTATAGCTTGCGGGTACTTTGCTAACATACTTGATAGTGATCAATCTCAAAATGTCGAGTATGAGCGACAAAACTAATTCAAATTTAGATACCAGAACCTGATTCAATAACTTGAATCACTCCAAAATAGGATTGAGTTAATATATAGAAATTACTATCCCTATTTATTTTTCTCATATTTATGCGAATCAACATTAAGCTATAGCAGCCGTGCTCAAAAGAATGTGCAGACCCAAAACTGGAATAGCCATTGATGGTTCCATGTATAAGTTGATGCCAAGATTGAATCTACTTATCAAATATTGGGTCTCACGATTGTATCCAGATTCACAAGTATATAACTTAAAATTTGTAGTATTTTTATGATAAAATGATATTAAAATTTACGGCATATTTTAGAGAGGGCTAATAACATAAGGAAAAAAAAATATTGAAAGAAAAATACGCTGTCCAATTATGAATTTAAAAAAATCATTTAAAAATATGTTATAATCAAATCGAATCCCGGAAAAAAACCCCTTGAAAAAAAAGCCCGGAAAATAAACCCCCAGGAAAAAAAAACCCCCGGAAAATAAACCCCCAGGAAAAAAAACCCCCAGAATTTTTTTTTATTATTATAGAATTTAATTAAGACCTAATAATATAGGCATATTTTTATTTGGCCTACTCTTCATAAAAAAATGCTTAAATAAGAAAAACTGATGTTTAAATTGGTACTGGGAAAAAATGCCTCAGTAAAATAACTATGTATTGTAAAAAAATTTTGCTATAGTAAAAATACAATCTTTAAATATGATATTAAATAGACTAAATTTTGACAAAATAAGAAATGTTTATTTTATTGGTAAATCATGATTATGTATATACAAATTTTATAAATTTTAATAATAATTATATGGGTTGACATCGAATATTGAAGGAAATCGCTCTTATAAAATCTGGAAGGATTCGCACCCCATCACGGTATTCTTCGCAAAGTTTCTTTAGCCGAATCTGGTTGTTAGAACTCTGCGATTTTGTTTTCGATCAACTACCTATGCGCCATCTTTCAAGTTTGGTTTCATAGGCAGCCACCTCGCATTTCATTTTTTTAATGAGTACCCTGACGGGTGTTTATTCCCAACCAGATTAGAAAAACGATGATTTTAACCTTCGCATTGATTATTTGTTCGTTCTTCATCTGAGAGAGTGCTCTGATTCACGTTCCAGGTTTCTGGAGGAAATCGAGGCTCAATTCGACGTGTTTGGGATTGAGAATTGCTTCTTATGACCTCCCTTGATACTCCATTGACATAATTTTTATCGAAATAATCAAGAATATCCTTACCATTGCTCGGAGTAACCGATCTTAGGAATGTCATTGCATTGCCCATATCACATAACGGAAATGCTAAGCCGTCCATCATGCCACAAAAACTTAGTTTCATCGGTCCTGTATATACCACTCTGTCCTATTAAATATTAGATTCAAGGAATCATCTGTTGCGAACATTATTATGCGTTCTTCAGCTTGTGGGCCATTATCAAATTATAAAAATCGTTTTGAGTTCTGGGAGCCACAATTTGCCCAATCACCTAAATATAATTATATTTAAACTAATACCTTCAATAACTAGGTCTTCCAAATTCTCAAGATTTGAAGGGTGTTGCATTGCTTTGTGATTCCTTAGAGTTCTTTTTATAGAATCTTCTGATAACATATGCGACTGAACTCTTTGGTCTAATTTTACAATTTCCTCTGCATAAATTTGAAGAGGTTTTGCCAAAGAGTCACATCGCTTCTTCATGTTAGCAATGGATTTCATTGCTACTAGTCCATCTATTTGATGGATGAATATGAGCTGTATCAAGAACCGGGTCTTGATTATCGAGTGTTGAAAAAAGTATTGCTCGGCATTTAAAAGAAGAATATGAATAAAATATTTTTGTAAATTAAAATTTTTTTTTGTCTTTATATACGGCATAAAGATCCAAATTATTATTGTTTAATTTTATAAATAAATACCAATTATAGCGTTTTTAATTGTTAAACAATTTTTATTCTTTTGATTAAAAATACATTTTAAAACTTAATGATCATAATACATTTTAATATCTGTTCATTTAACTAGTTGCTGAACAATAATATTTTTAACAAATTATTAACTTGCAATTGTCTAAATACCAATTCAATATAAATTTTTGCTAGATTATACTTAAATATGAGAGTGTATAATAATAATCCCAAGGGGTTTTTTTTCCTGGGGGTTTTATTTCCTGGGGGTTTTTTCCGGGGGTTTTATTTCCTGGGGGTTTTTTCCCCGGGGTTTTTTTTCCTGGGGGTTTATTTTCCGGGGATTTTTTTCCGGGGTTTTTTTTCCAGGGGTTTTTTTTCCTATTACCGATCAAATCAATTTACTATGAATATTATGATTCAAATTTTAAACCTTATTGCTTTATACTTTGTAGATGAGAGAAACTCTCTTAATATGATTACAACCACTTATTCATGATCTACATAGAAAAAATATATTATTCAAGTCTTATGGCTTTTACTTAACTGTTCCATTTTTATATAAATTATATAGGTAAACATCTTTTTATCTGAAGATGGAAGCGGTAAAGGTGCAGCTCTGGTAGCTTCCATAGCTGATAGACTACATCACGAACATTCTCTTCATTCTCACAATGGCGATATAAATCTTTGAAACCCAAAATTTTTATAATATTTTATATTTTAATTAAAAGAGGATTATTTTTCTAAGAAACAAGTAATGTAGAAAATATAGTACATATATTTTTTTAATTTTCAAAGGAGAAGAATTACGGTAATGTAAAAATACAGATCCTACAAAAACAGTGCGATATGAATTTATAATAAAAAATTTGCAATCATATTTTTTTGTTCGAGTACATATAACTCCCTTTCCCATCGACGAATTTTTTATAATTAATTTTATTGTTTACCTTTAAAGTATGAGTTAATTTATATAAAAGAAGTTAATTTTACTTTTTTCAATCAGTTTTTTTCTATATAACCTATCTCTATGTTCCTTAATCTCCATATATTTTTTTTTGCTATTATTTAATTGGCCGAAGATGACTTAATTAATTCCCAAAAATATTATATGCTAATAGCCGATTATTCACCTTTATTTTCTTAAATCATATATATATAATTGGTTCTCCTAAGGTAATATGATGTTATCTATCGTGATCGGATTCGAATTGTATAAATTATGACACATTTAAATCATGAAATATATTTTATTTATTATTAATAATCATTTTTATACGTAGAGGAATATAATTTATATTAGTACTTAATTATCCATTTAAAATACAATTATCGACGTACATAGAATTATATCAAATTATAGTATATTTAAAAAAATAGATGTTTTTTTATAGTTAATTTTAAGCTTTTCATCTATCAGAACTTTATTAATTAATTTACATTTTCATATATATAATGCCTATATATATATTTTACTAGAATAAGGAGGACTTATATTGATATACAAATATTTTATACTAAGCTAAGGAGTATAGTTCAATGATTGCTCAATTTTTAACCGGCTAACTTTAGCTTTTAGCTTAAAGAAAACTAATTACCTCAGCCTCGAATTTTTATTTGGCTCAACTTTAGAAGAAAGTAAAAATTAACTTGCACCTGTTTAGAGAATTTTCTTAAGACACGATACTGCAGATTGAATCGGTAACAATTATCAAAATAATATGCTAATAAGGCTTAATTAATAACCATAAAAATAATTAGGCCTATATAAAACTACTATAGCTATATATCGAAAAGTATCCTCATCTTGTGTACTTCAACATTTAAAAAGATTGATTAATAGAGAAGAATGGTTGTTAAATTTTTGTGAAAATCATTCTATTTTGATTTTAATATAATTTTTACCATCATTTTAAATTCTTTTTCCATTTTTAAAAATTCTTAAACAATATTTTGATAATTTTTAAGCATTCTTTTTCTCCTTAATCCTTATTTTCATTTAAAAAATAAAATAATAATTGAAAAATAAAATAATAGTTGAAAAATATTTTAATGAACTTAGAAGGGGATCTAAAAAGTTGGCTAAGAAAATTGAAGAAAACAAATTAAAATTCCTTCATCTCCTTAAATGTTATACCTAAGCGAGAAAGGATCGACTATAATATTTCTTAACACTGATATAATCGTGAATAAAAAATTAGGCGTCAACCATTTCCAATAAAACCTACAATTTAACGCATGTGTTTCATGAATAAATGTGTTACCGAATTTATATTCATCTGGATGGTAAATTTTTAATTATTGCAAAACCGATTTAAAAAAAGACCAGGGTGAAAATTATCTATTTCTATCCAGTATTTTTCAAAACATACCCGAAAGAGCAATATCTATGGAAAAAGAAAAGGAAAAGTAGCAAAAAAACGGTTTGACTAAACTGCAAATGCTAAGGTAAATTGCAAATGCTTAGGTAAAAATTTGATTTATTATCTATTATTTGTAGTGAGATTCATTTTCCTATGATATAAATAAATTATAAAAATTAAATTATTAGATATATTCAAGAAATATGCATTAATAGTTGAATTTCCTTTATCTCATAATAAATAGTTTAAATCCTTTAATATAATTATATTAAAAATAATTATATTTCAGAGTTGTTAAAGGATCGAATCAAAAGATCACCGATACTAGATTCGATCCTAAATTTGTCAATTTTCTAGGATTTAAGATCCTGCCTGACCTTAAATCGTGATCGAGATCATTTTTTTAAATATTCCATCCCGATCCTTTTAAAATTATTTTTTTACTTAAAATCAATAAATAAAATAAAATTTTGAAAATTATATTAACATATTATTTAAAAAAAAAAATCTATCTACATTATGTTTTATCAACCACCATTCCACCATATTTTATATTTCAAGAATTTCAAATTTTTTGTAAGAACAAGTTATATTTATTTATTAATTATAATATAAATTCTAGGTTTTAATAATGTCCTCCATTATAGATTTAGAAGATGATACATCTACTTCTATTGATATGACAACAGATATAAGTAACAATGAGAATCTTTTACCATTTCATAATTTACGTGAGTATTTTACTTTTGTGAAACGGATGGAAGTAACCATACAATGATCTATGCAAAATGCTCTTTATGCACAAACAAAATATCTTCTTCAAAGATTAGAAGTTCAAACCTAAAGAGGCATTTAGAAGTAATTGATTCTTTTAAAGATACAATTTTTATTATTTGTGAAGTACATTTTAAATTTCAATAATATTAAATCCGCAAGTTGGCGTTTATTATTTTAAAATATTATTATAAAAAAATATAATAATTTAAAAATGTTATAATCAGATACTCACTAAAACATTAAAGGTTCATTTTAATAAGCTGATATCATAATACGCATGGTGGAGGGCTATATATAATATTTAAAACATATTACGATGTAAAATATTATTTTTTGTCATATGATATCAATAATACCAAGTGACTATTTAAATAAAAAAAAATTTAAATAATATTTATCTTGATTTATCTAACAGTATTTTAGTAAATGATTAATTTAAATTTATATAATTAGAATCATATTTATACAAATATTTCGTAACACTCATTTACCTATTTTTTTTATCTCATTTTATCAGAATATAACCAGATTGCAATCACAGCAAGTAAACTATATCCATTTCAACAAAGTTATATTAATTTTTATAGATTTTTTCTAACTGTCATATCTAATATACTTAATATATTCCATAAGAAGTGGACATTAAATATTCTAAAGCTTACAAATAATCATAAAATACAATTTTTGTTATTTATTTTTGAAGAACATAACATACATATATATTAATAATAATGATGAGTAAATTATAATAATCAAGCATTTTAATATTAGTAATAGCCCATTCTTAGCAAAGGTAGGGAAGGGAGATTAGTATTTTTAATGGGAGTTGAAATATTAATTTGCAAGAGAATATTTAAAATAGATTCATTATTTTATAAGATAATCAAATTTTTCAAATAATTTATCATTAAACCTTTGCCGTTTCGGCATACTTAACATTGAGCCAATTGCAGTATTATATTTATAAAAAACTTCTTTAATGAAAGGATAATAATTAAGCATTTATAATGTATTTCGACTTTCTTTAATATAATTTAAAACACCCAGTTTAATGTTATTTGTATTATGGAATTCAGCAACATTTGTTTCGTCAAAAGAAAATTTATCATCATTTTTCTATTGGTGTTTATAGTTTGAACTTGATTATATATTCTGGTACTAAATTTAGGGCTTCTTTTATTAATATATTTTGAAACTATTTTTTTAGCATCCGGCTTAATCCATAAGTTCTTAAAATATGTATATTATATTGATGTCAAAAAAGCCTATTTTATATCATAGGAAAATATTTTCTTAAAATCTTTTGTCCATACCATCTTGAGCAGCTTTTAATAAAAGTAGATTATGTAAGCATGAATTTTTTAAATAACTTGTCTTTTTTAACCATATAAATGATATAATTTAATATAAAAAAAAGTGTTGAATCCTTTATCATTTTTTTTGTTTATGCAGGTTTTACATTCAGCCTGTACATTGTCTTTTTTAAGTTTTATTTTAAAAAAAAATTTCCTTCTAAAATTTTAAGATTGGGGAACTTATTCCCATAATTTAAATTTCACTACCTTCTTCTTCACTACTATGAGTGTTAATCATCCTACAAATAAAAAATATTACATATAATTGGTATTGATATTCTATTGAGTTACATTTATATATAAAATATAATCTTTACTTATTTCGTTTTGGTGTTGTTATTTTTTTATCTATCTACTTAATATGAGTTGTAAATTTTTTTTCCAGCTAGTTTTGGTTGTTAATATATTTAAAATATGGCAGAAAAAAATAAGGAAATTAATACAAAATTCTCGAAGAAAATAAGATATATGCTGTGATATGTAAAATTTTAAATTTGAAAATTAAAAAATATCTGTATCTACAACAATTATTCCAATATCTTCAATATTTATTTAACGATAAACTTAACTCAATAATTTTTTCAATATCAATCAACATGGGTGGATGTCTATACCTACAAATCAACACCTAATTATAATCCCCCTTTCTTGTCTGTATATCATATCTTTTAAAAAAGTTATTTCACTGAATTTGTATAAAAAGAATACATGAACGCTTAACCCACTAATAATTTTCATTAGATATTAATCTACGTTAAAATCCCAAGTTATTATATATCAGAATAGCACATCATAGTGTTTCTCCTTTTGAAATCATCTGAAAATTCGAACAAATACACATATCCCCCCCCCACCTCTCCAATCTTTACTTTTATAAATTATTGATATTAAATTCACCGAATCTCTTTTTTATATATTATTTTAAATAGTCGCAAAATCTATATATCATTTTACAAATAAATTATAACGCCATTTATAATATTACCGCATTTATCTAAATTATAATTTTCCCCTAAAAATGGAAAAACTTTATATATTTTTATGCTAGGTGTAAAATAATCTTTTACAAACATCATATTTTAGATAAAAAATTTCTGTGATATTAATTATTAGAATGATATTATTGTATGGTAATATTGTAATTAATCTATATATTGTAATGGTAATAAAAACAAAATGCTATTTAAAAAAAACATCAATAACAAGTATTCAAATTTTATTTAAAAAAATTAATTTATCTTACTTTAACAATTAAAATGTGAATATTTGTAATTTATAAAATCTATTAGTAAATGGAATTTAGCTTACTTTTTAAGTAATAAAACAATATGATTTTAAAATATATTAAAACAAAATATAATTAAAATTTTTTTTTTATAAAATAATAATACGCCCGATTTAATATTATTGAAATTTAAAATATAATTTAATTATTTAAAATATAATTTAATTATTTAAAATATAATTAAATTATATTAAGGGATTTAAACTATTTATTATGATATAAAAGGAAATTCAACTATTAATGTATCCTTTATTATTGAATATATCTAATATTCTACAATACATTTTTACTATTATGTAGTTAATTTAAAATATTTTTTTAGCTTAAAATATATATATGAAATGAAAATTATGCATTGTTAATTAATTTTTCAATATAATTTCTTTAGTTTTAATCTTTAAAAAAAATTTGAGCTTTTTTTTTCAAGACCATAGATTTTTGATCACCCAAGATGAAATCAAAAATTTTGTAAAAATGAATTTGTTTTCAAACTATATTTTTTTAATGCTTCTTATTTGTTTTTCAATAACATAAAATTTTACTAAGGGATCTCAACATTTTCCTTCAAAAGTTAAAAAATTTATTTCTGATTTTAATTCATAACAAAAAAATATTATAAAGATTCCAAAACTGTTTCAATATATGTGTAGATGCTAATATTTGATAAATAATTAAATATTTAATTAAAATTTTTATAATTATCTTTGCCACCTTGACGTCGCTTTAAATAAAATACCAATATCTTATTAAGTTTTGCCATCTCACACCACTCCTCTTAGATTTTTTATGTATATATTCTATTTTATAACTTTAAAAAACAATGTCATTCCACTTTCAAATAATGCAAAAATATTCTGCTAAAGGAAGAAACTATTATTTTTAAAAGGGGTGTCTTAGAGATCTGTTTATATTCCTTGAAAATAAAAATAATGATGCAAAGCCAATATTATTTAGAATAAGTTGAAGCCCACCATAAACCCCACCTCTCTGTGAAATATTTTGGTTTCAATAATAGTGGGTGTGAATAGCGTGCGTATCCGTCTGAACAAGTGGAAAAAATTTCCTAATATTAAATGGTGAGAGGTAACATTTTAAACGTAAACAAAATACTAAAACGATTCCAGATTGTTAGACTTTGACAGTTTATTGAATTTATAAAATGTAACAATTTACACTGCATAATTTAGCAACTAATCAAAAATGTTGAGTATAATTTAAAAAAAATATTATAAGATTACATGAGTAATTAAAACATTTTATTAAATATATCAAATGTGACTTTATTGGGAATTATCAATTCGCAAAAGAGCGGGTAATGCCAAAATACAATATAATATACGAATAAATTATTTTTAAAATGATTAATAATAAAAAAAATTTATGAAAACATTTTGCACCTTATAATTGGTTTTATAATAGTATAAATTAAGGTATATTTTAAACATTTGAATCTTCTATAGGTAACAAATCAAATAAATAAATTAGATTTGGTATAAATATAGATATTTATAATATGTTGATATATTATAATTATAATAATTTTAAAAACAAAAATTCTATTATATTAATTATTGGAATGATTGATTAGTTGAAGGATGTATAAAAATAGATTCACGATATCTAGATACAATGTCAAGGCGGCAAATATGTATTCTTCAGGAGACAAAGAATATTTCTTGTCTCCGCCCATCATCATTTGAGTGTCAAAAATGATGTACTGTTATTTAAAATTGATAAATATTTAGTAATATATAGATAAAATATGAAATATAATAAATAATAAGGTTAATATGCTTCCAAATTGTGCTTTTTTTCAAAACTTTGAAGATCAAAAAAATTGAAGACCTTTTTTCAAAAAAATTTTGAGCACACTAAAAGAAGATTTTTTAAGTGATATTTTATTTAAAAACATATGGGAAATTTTTTTTAAAATTCTTTAAAAAAAACATCAAAGGGAAAATATAAGAAGATTTTTTTACAAAAATCATTTTTCATTTTGCTCAGGAATCCTCTTTAAGCATGCTCAAATTTTTTTTATCTTCAAAAGAGCAAAATTTTTGAAGATTTTTGAAATTTGAGCTAATGTGCAAACTTGACTCTTTTACAACGGTATCATCTATATTGGTTAAAAAGTTAAACAAAAAAATTAGTTATATTTCCCAAAATACATCAATAGAGAAAAATGGACAATAATTGATGAACACCTACCTTAAACGATGATATGTTTTTTCAAAAAAAACACTCAATTTGGAAACACTGTTATTGTTAAATTTTGCAAATAATCTTCTAAATTTATGTTTGATCTAATAAAGTATATATTTTAAAAAAATCATGAAACATTAACTAAACAAATATTTAAATAAATTCAATAAAATATTATGGGGAATAAATGATTATTAACTTACAGCAGAAAAGATTAGAGCACCTAAGCTAGAGTATACGATGCTTAGTATCTAAAGCGATTAAAAATAAATTGTATGTATATATTATAGTACCTAAATATTTTTTATATTTATTATTACTCGATTGCGTATAAAGATGCACAAAATTCCAAATATTAACAGGATTATCAGAGCTACAAACATAAACATATGGCATCCAGTCATGTCCCACTAAATTTTTACATTATAATAAGTCATATTTTAAAAGGCACTTTAAAAATAAATAATTTATCAGTAGGATTGGGAAATAAAAATTATGATTTAAATAATTCAAATAAAAAAAGTAATGAGTTCTTTGTCTTTGATCTTACCAGCCCCGTATAATAAAATTCATCAAATTATTATATCATTCAGTACCAAAATTGTCAGTAATGAATATGAATATCATGTATTTCTCCCATGTGATCTGATGACCAAAAAAATTATTGGAAAAGAGAAAACATATGGATGAACTATGAAGATAGAATTCAATAACAAGCATGACATTAGATCAATAAATAAGGATGATATTTGAAATTATCAACAAATGCAAGACGTTAGGAAATCTTATTAGAACTACAATAAAACAAAATAAACAGGAAACAATATATTGCTGTAAATTATCCACTATACAAAAATACGATTCTCAGTTAATAAGGAGGAATGAAATACAAATAAATTGGTAAGGGTCATTCCGTGTTCATCTCCAAAGGTTGTTAAATGGAAATGAATCCCTTTCCAATATCAATATTTACTTTATGTTTATAAAACTTGAATAAAAATTTACAATTTATTTATTTTTTAATAAAATAATTCTTATATTAAACCAATGACGAAGCGCCCATAAAAGCAAGGGAAGCATTACTTCCTTATAATTTTTCTTAAATAAATTTAAAGTAATATTTATTCTATGTTAAGAAAATTAATACTATTCTAATTACGTCAAAAAATGAATATATTTTACTACGTTATTATTTTACTACAATATTTTACTATCTTAAAAAGTTATTATTTTTCCTCAGAGTTGAAGATTTCTTTCGCCCAAAATTTTGAGCAAAAAATTTTTGAAGATCAAAAAAAATTTTGAGCACGAGAGATTTTGAGTAAAATGAAAATGTTTTTTGTAAAAAATATTTCTTGAGCATACATAATTTTTTTTTACAAAAATATAAAAGAAAGAAGAAAAGGAAAATTTAAGAGTTTTTATTACAAAAAAATCTTCATTTTTTTGATCGTCAAAAGAGTAAGGATCTTTGAATTTTGAGCAAATGTTAAACCCTGTTTTTTACTACGTTAAAAAATATAAATGCAAATTTACAATTGGTTATTTTATAAAATTGATAAATGAAAAAAATAATGCTCATACTTGGTGATGCAATGATCCATGATTTTAAAAAGGCTAAGTCAGTATTTTATTCAGAAAAAGACTTTGCTCATAGATGGCATAAAGATTTGAACATTTATTCGAAATATCGAGGCCTAGGCAATAGTTTTCAGGCTAAAATCTAGAGTTATTCGATTTTAAAAATCAGCTCAAATGGAGCACTTTTGTGTTACTACTCATACTATATATTTTTGGTGTAATAATAATTTATTTAAAATGTCTAATAATTGCAATTGTGTTAATGAAATTTCAATCAAAAAAAGGAAAACCAACAACTTTAAAAAATTTGGAAAACTAATCAAAACTTTTCATTTTAATATTAGTACAAGTCAGAGTATGGGCTTTCACCTTTAAAAATAATAAAAACTTATAGTAGAAACATGACAAGTCATAATAGATTAACAATATATCATTGATTTCAATTGAAAATTAAAAATCATTTTTATAATATTTCACTCAAAAAAGCAGACAAATTCTGTTCATTAATACATACATATTAATCTTTTATATGGGTTGTGCCCAGTAGTAGGCTTCATGCTTATCAATGTAATAAACATAATTTTCAAGATCAAATATAAATATTTACCTACCAGAATATATATTTTATCAAATATTTTTTTATTTAATATTTTATATATACAAAAATTACTGAATACTTTTATAACTTAAAAATATTTTACTAACTAAAATTAATAAATGCTTACTATTTAATTTATTTTGATTAAAATTTACACAATAAAATAAATTATATACTAAAAAAAATAAATGTACCTTTGTTTGGAAAGCAAATATGCTAAGGGAAAACACTATGATCTTAATCCATCATTAAAAATTAAAAAAAATAAAATAGTTTGTAATGTATTTAAATTTACACAAAAATAAATACATAGCATGCCAAAATGTTAAGATAAAAATGCCACTTAGTAAATTTAATATAATAATTTCAAACTCACTGTAGTAATTCCAACAGCCATTAAAACTTCATCTTTTCCATAATAACTTAATATAATAAAGTTTACAATGATATAAACTTTAAAAATACCTTGAAATTGAACCTAAGAGCCAGCCTTCGAACAGAGTCTTGATTGTTTTGGTAATATAAATAATATTTTTAAAAAATTAATAAATAACATTTTAAACAAGTTTATATATTAATTAAATTTCTTATTTAAAAAAGAATTAGGAATATATTATATGAAAAATAATAATATTAGCTTCAAATTTTGATTAAAATAATATGATGTAATGTAAATAATTATTACAAAGACTCCAAGCATTATTATATTCAAAGGCCATTTCCTTCTAAGTCCTTCAAAGCAAGTCAAGGCTATAATGAGTACAAATGTTCCAACTCTTAAACAATATTAATTTATATAATTGTGATAATCATGATTTTAATTAACAAATTCTTACAGAGCTGCTATATATATCCCAGGATATTGTCTTGAAGCAAGTTTAACCTCAGGTCTTAAAATAAATTTATAAAATAATAAAATTTTACAACTTACACATATAAAAAAATAGTTATGAAGATGCAGGTAACAATTAATTGAGCTAGAAGTAGGGCATAAACCTTTCGAATAAACCCTAGTAAACAATCAATTGAATATATACATATACATTAGCAAACCTCGTCTGATTGTCTTATCGCTAAATAAAATGGCACTTTCATTCTCATTAAATCTTTCATAATTATCATTTCTATTCATATTCAAAGTATATCCTCGTTTGCTTTCTTTTTCTATTCTGTTTTGCTGGGATCAAAAAATAAAAAGAGTCTTGCTAAAATAAGATTGGCAACCTGTTAAAAGTCACATGTATTTGATATATTACGTGTTTGATAGATCATATGTATGGAGTAAGAAATAATGACATGACAGTCATCTTTTAGATTGGAATTGACTGGAACTAAATTTCTAATAGATTTTAGTTTGGCAAACTGAAAAGTCTTGTGATGTTTCAATTTATAATATAAATTATCAAATTATAAAAATTTTGTATGAATTTATTATGAAGAAAGATAAGTATAATTATTATTGAATTTTATTTATTTAATGAAAATTTGAATTTAATAGAGACTTAAGACTAAATAAAATATTTCATAAAATGACATCAATTTTATTGTAAATATCAATAGCTAAAAGTATTATATTAGAATTTAAGGAAATTAGGGCAAATGGAGAGGGTAAATATCATAAATTATATGTCATTGTTGAGTCAAAAGCTGAGCTGCTTAAATTTAATGTTTGTCTATAAAGAAAGAAGCTTTTTGCATGAAAGAACGTGCTAAGGTTTGATTCTTGGTCATCTCCATAGATTAGACATTGGTCATATCAATAGATTAGGCAGTCACAATAAATAAGGTAATAATAGGTAGTCATCTCCATAGGTTAAGCAGTCTCCATAAGTTAGATAGTCATCTCAGTAGATTAGGTAGTCACAATAGATAAGGTAGTCATCTCCATAGGTTAAGCAGTCTCCATGGGTTAGATAGTCATCTCAGAAGATTAGGTAGTGGTCTTTTTCTAGTCCACCACCCAGACCCGGGACACCATGAAAAGAATAAGGCTCTTAACGATATAGCGCGAGGTTCGAGTCAGTAAAAATATATTTTATTAACTCACTTCTTTTTCTTTTCTTAAGGTATATATACATTTTCTAAAATATAAATTAGAATATAAAACGAAATACAAAAAAGTAATATAAAAGTAAGGTTACGCCGTTTATAAAATAAAATTAGATTATAACAAAAAATAATAAAATTAGAATAATGCAACAGTCTACCTAGACTAGCAGCAAAGCAAGCCCATCATTCCAATATTAATATATGGATAGTCGAAGTATAATATAAAGTAAATCCCATCCCTCTCTTGGATACTTTTATAACTCAAATAAATCAAAGGTCCTTGATTAATCAGGCAGCACTTGCATATATGTAAATTTTATTAATGCAGAATCTATTTCAATATTGAAATTCACATTAAAAATTATTTTGTTTCTTAATTATATATTTTCATTAATGCACCATGCAATAATTCTGAAATAATTTTGTGTATTAATCTATAATTACAATATTTTTAAAATATAATTCAAATTTATGAACCAAATTTAAATGTTAATATACCTTTTTTTTCAAAATTCTTCTTCGAGACATTTATTTATGAGAGATTCACACACCTATCATAAACATCTATTTTACCATTTATTTATATTTGAATATGTGTATTAGAGATTTTCAATATTTTATAATCACTAACTAATAAATTTTTGGAACTCATAATATTCTTAAATAACTCTTATAATGATTCTACAAAAAAATTGAATACCCCCCCCCCCCCTTTTTAAGCGAATTCCTGCTTGAGCCTCGGGGTCAGGCATAGCCAGGATTTTCATAAGGGGGAATTAAAAAATTTCTGGGGCGAAGCCCCCAGACCCCACTTTGGGCGGGCCTTCAACCCGCTTTTGCTCGGCCTTTGGTCTGGTTTTCTTAATCTATATATACTCATATTACTTGGAACTATATGAAATATATTTTTATTAGTTTATATAAAATATAATAATTACTTATATATACATTAATAGAAAAGAGTATAAAAATTTATTCCAAACAAGTATAAGAAATTTCTTTATAAAAAGTAAGTATTGATATTCCTCTATTATAAAGAATTTATTACAAAATATTAGGTAAAATTTTACTTTGCAGATATATTTGACAGTTATAGAATATATTACAGTTAATATTTAAATAAATTTTAATAATCGATGTTTATGATGTTACATATAACGACAATCCGCATACAATTATTTAAAGCCATCTATTTTTTTAAATAAAATTTGATATTAAATAATCATATTATTCATTCCACAATTGATGTACCTTATTAGATATTGACGCTACTGAAATATAGAAATATTTTTTTCGTTTACATTCCTTTAAAGATATTTTCTGATGTTCTTAACAATATTTTATAGTCTTCTGTAAAATATATAATACACTAGTGGTATAAATTATTTGATCGTTATGCGATAATTGATAAAATTAGATATATTGTAAATCTACGACATATAAAATTCCACTATTTATATTGTGCTTATTTAATTTATGATTTAATTTTCCAATAGTTTTATAATTATATTTTACTTTTATTAAGATAAATAAATTAAAGTTACTCACTTTATAAAAAAGTATATTTGATATATTATATTATTTAGTAATTTTATGGATCTATTATTAGTAATTATAATGCATTAACTTTTGTCTTACGACTTATCTTTGACTTATATTTCACATCTTAAACATTTTTGGTTTCACTTTTTTTATATATAAATGATTTTTTATAAAATATTATGAATTATGATGAATAGTTTTAGTTAAAAAAATATTAACTTCCATTCTTTCTTTCAAATTATTGTTCAAGATATATGCATATATTTTTTGGGGGGCAGATGGGGGGGGGGCTAACAATGATATTTTTTATTGGCTTAAAATGATATTCATAAAAAGTGATAAATTTCTGAAGGGGGGGGGGAATTTTCCTTGCCCCCCCCCGGGTAAGCCTATGGGGTACATGCATTTATATTCCCCTTTATTGCCTGAAGGCGAAGCATGGAACTAGCTTTTGGGTGAGCATAGGTAACTCCAATCCAAAAATTGGTCAATAATTTTTTTAATTTTAACCTCTTAAAATTTTATTCAGTTTTATGGGCATGAGAAGAATCAGGGTAGCTTTGTTGTTTTAACAATAAAAAGAGTATAAACGCTTAATGAATGACGAATGACAATCATCTTCTATTATTTTTTTTGCATACATATACCAGCTGCGTAGCCTAGCGGGAGAAGGGGGTGCGGATATATTAATTTTTTTTTAAATATTAAAAAAAAATTAAGTATTAAAAGGGAAACTAATTATCATGAAAAATTTAATAGAATTAGAACTGTAATCATATTTCATGAATTTACCCCAAAAAAATATTGAAAAATGTAAAATATTATCAATATAAATTACATTGCTAAAAATTCTGTAAGGTATTTAAGTGTTTCTATTCCACTCCAGTTTATGTTTTGGAATGTTCCGTACGGTATTCTTAAAAAAGTATCTAATTTTGTTTTTATTTTATCAATATGCAATTTTATTTATTGCTCTTTATAAAAAAAATCAACTATTACATCTAAGCATCTATTAAAAATATTCTCGAAAAATTATCATTTGTAATGTGGGGGTATTAATTTAAATTTAATTACCAAAACCTAACTTTCAATACTAACTTAAAAAAATTATATCCATTGAAATCTAAAAGATTATTATATGTAAAATGAATACTAAGTGCGCTTTTACACTTTAAAATTAAACGTGATAATTGTATCTCATAATTTTCAGAAGCGACCCTTTTTAAAAATTTTTTAAATATAATTTTATAACTAAATTTTTTATTGTGAAAATTGATTAAAATATAAATATTCACATTTATTGCGTATTCGTAGATTTTCGGTATTTTTCAAGTACTTTTTTAAAAAGAAGACGAAATTCTGAAATGATTTTATAGAAATATAAAATTAAGGGGAGGGTTTTATCAAATTAAAAGAAATAATAACAAATTTTAGTCTAGATATAAATATAAAAGTATATTATGAAAACCTAAAATTTTACATAATCATATATTTTTCTTCTTTGTCAACCCATTACTATAAAGTGAGTGATATATTTTTAGGAAATTAAAAATTTCATGGAAGTGAAAGGCAAACTTTTCAGAGAGGTATGAGTAGAAACTAGAAACATTTAGGGATAGGGGGAAGATATGTATCACTAATTCGTTTTTCCGTCTACAAAAAAATTATGGTTCTATAATTTGGCCCTTTCAAATGATATTTCTTTCTGCAAACATAATTTTGGTATTACAGAATCCTAAAAATTATTTACTACTCTTGAATAAAATATTTATAAAACATTTTACTTATTATTTTAAAAAGTTTGACTTGTGTGAATAAAATCTTTGTCTTAATAATGGGAGGGATTTTTTTCAAATTTTCATTTTCTCGAGGGAGATTTTTGGACGTAAAAAATATACTATATTATACACTACTAATATGTATATTTTGAGCCTATATTTAAATTATTTTGTTAAAAGTTTAATGGAAAGAGAGAAAAGACTGCGGTTATTAAGAGCCCCACAAGTCCAACCAAAAAAATTAAAAGTATTATTTATTATTTTCAATAAAATAAAATCTTATTTAATTCTTCGACTAGTTCTAAATAAGGATTAAATTTTAACAAAAATATATTTTATACTTTTAAATGTTTATTATCTTTTCTAAAAGTTTTAGGAAGTTGCGGGGATTAAAAAAATTTTGCATAAAAAAATTATTATTTATTTTTAAATAATATAAAATTTGAAATCATAATTACTTATATTATAATTTTAATTGATCTGAAAATTTAAATACACGAATAAAAATTGCCCCAGGGTCTCACAACCATTAAAATAATTTAAAGATAACAATTTTTTGGAGCAAAAAAAGTCAAGTCAAACTCATATTTTATCCAGTTTACTTAAAAAAATATATGAAACAGGCGCTATTTGGAACTTTTTGATTTAAAGTACTAAAAAACAAGCTTTATCCTGAATGAATCTGTCTAAAAGACAGTGCACTTGAATGGGGTCCGTCCCAACACGAAACCGGAGTGGAGCCGCTTCCACGTTCACGCCCTACCACCCAAACGATTTTACAATATAAAATATAGTATTGAAATCCATATTAGAATTACGGGCTATCCAAAACCCGACTTGATCGGACACTGAAAACTATTTTCTCGGGCAGTCCGACCC